ATAGAGCCCGAAGCAGAATTAGGCTGGAAATGTGACAGGAACAGTGCGGCTTTTTCAAGGGCATTGGAACAAGAAATGTGATATTTATGATCAGATGGATATCAGAGAGAGAGAGAGAGAGAGAGAGAGAGAGAGCAATGCAAATGCAGAAGGATGTGAACTCCTGTTATATTAATTACGCAAAAGCATTCGTCAAAGTACTGCACAAGGATCTATTTGAACTGTTAAGAAAACTCGATCTATTTGGAAAAGTTGTTAGAATAATGCAGAACCTATACTGGTAGCAAACAGCCTGCATACGGATAAAAATTAAGTAGTTATGCAAAAATAGAAAAGGGCGTGAGACAAGGATGCGTCGTCTCTCCAGATTTGTTCAAACGTTACAACGACGCCATCCCAATGGGACTGAAGACCCTACCAGGATTTATTATCGGTAGGAGTAAGCTCAACAATATAAGACAAGGAGATAAAACTGTTGATGGTTGACTAAGAGACAAAACTACAGGACATCCTAGATAGGGTGGTAAGAGAAAACAAGAAGAAAGGACTAACCATTAACTGCAAAAGGACAGAAAGTATGTGTAGTGAAGTGATACCAAAGAGGCAATCATGGTCGCCATTTGTAATTCCGCCATAGCGCACGTGTTGGTGGTTTTGCATGCACCAGGACTGATATAAGAGCACGTTCTTTTTTCAGGGCGCAGTTTTTTGAATCTGACGGTTTGGGAACAGGCAGTGGATTGACAGCGAAAAAGATATGTGTGCTGGGATTTCTTAATATCGGAGTGAGCTTCTTAATTGCAATATTTCCTTCTGCACCCCCCTATTGGATTTTACAGCGTTTTGATCATCAAACAATTACTACTTTAAATCAACTACAGTATGTTCATCAGCAAGAGAAAACGCCCCAGATGCGAGTTACGAATTGCAGAAATAAACATCAGGCAGGTGCAGAAGTTTAAATATATGAGAAGTGTTTTAACACAGGACTGAATATGATTGGACGAGCGAAAGAGGCCTTCCAAAAGCTAAGCAAGACTCTGAGAAACGGAAAGATTTCCTTAGAAACAAAAAAGAAGAGTGATGGATTACCATGTGATATCCATCCTCTTATATGGCAGTGAATATTGGACAATCGCCCCACGGGCGAGGAGAAAACTAGAGGCAGATGAAATGTGGTTCTACAAAAGGATTCTGAAAATTCCATAGACGTTGCGAATAAGCATCAAGGAAGTCTTCAAGAAAATGACAACAGGAAGTACACATAGTCAAAATCAGTAAAATTCCTTGGGCGCATAATGAGGAAGGAGTGCTCGGAGAACTTAATCCTCACGGGGCACACTAAAGGCAAGAAAGACAACTGCAGCGAGCCACTTGCTAGATGAGCTTCTGTGAATCGATAGCGGAACGGAAAAGGTGCCATAGCAAAGGGAAAAGACTGCTAAAAGTCACACGAGATAGGAAACTGCGTGGAGCCATGGTCATCTATATCCTGTCTCTGGCACACAAAAGAAGAAAGGTTTTTCGCAGTTTCCTTTACTTTATTGTCTTTCATCTTCAATAACGCTTTACAACTTAGTGGATTTATTGTCTTGCTTTGGTTTGGTTTGGTTTATTTTGTTTTACGGCATATCAACGCCTCAATGGGTTATTTAATGCCGACAAGATTTTTAGGATAGGTTCGTATGAATAGAATATGTATTCTTTGTAAGAAATCAGTTTGTAGATCAAGTTTCATTGACGTATTTTTGTAAAGAGGGTTTTTGTAGAGTCTGGCTTGGTTTATTTTGTTTTATGGCATATCAACACCTCAATGGGTTATTTAATGCCGGCAAGATTTTTAGGATAGGTTCGTATAAATAAAATATGTATTCTTCTGTAAGAAATAGGTAGATCAAGTTTTATTGACGTATTTTTGTAAAGAGGGTATGTATTGTTGGTATTTTTTTCATCAAAAATGTATTGCTGATACTTTTGCTTTACAAATCTATTATTATACTCTCATAGAGTTTTGACTCCAGTTTGGGGGTTCACTATTTGTCCATAACTGGAACCCTAATAGGTGTTAACATCCAGGGTCAGGTTGAACCTCAGAAGAACTGCAGTTAAGAGGTGGTTCAACGGTCCGTAAACCCTTCCGATCAGAGGCCTTGCTGCCGCGTGTAGTTTATCGCCAGCCTTGTTAGGGGTGAAAGAATTTAAAAAAATGAATAAGGAAGAAATAAATTGCTTATTGCAAAATAAATGATCGGCAAATGAGAAAATATGAAAATAAATAATAATCTCAAGTTGTGTTTTCCTAAAATCTGTCAATTGTTTCCACGCCTCACACCAAGGCGAATATGAAACCTATTTGGCTCTTACATAATTAATCGGAGAAAAATGTTTTAATATATAAGCATAACAAATATGGCGTCAAATGAGTTATAAGCGCTTACTCACCAGATAATGTCAATTGTGTTGAACTGACAAAGTATTCCTAATGTATTCAGCTGCCGTCCGATTTTCAATATTGACGATTGACCAAATTTGTATATATATAATTTTCTTATGTTTTTATTCTTATATATATATATATATATATCTATATATATATATTCTTTTGTTTTTATTCATTCATATATATATATATATATATATATATATATATATATTCTTTTGTTTTTATTCATTCATAGATATATATATATATATATATATATATATATTATTTTTTTTTATTCATTCATAGATATATATATATATATATATATATATATATATATTTTTATTCATTATTAGATATTATATATATATATATATATATATATATATATATATATTCTTTTTGTTTTTATTCATTATATATATATATATATATATATATATATATATATATATATATATATATATATATATATATATATATATATATATATATTCTTTGTTTTTATTCATTCATATAATGAATAAAAAGAAAAAAAGCTTATTTTGGCCGACGCGTTCATCCACTGGGGGACTTTATCGGGGCAAATTCAGAGATTTCATTTTGTAACAATTGACGTTATTCATATTGTCGTTTTACAGATATATTCTATCTTAAATTCTACATCTGAAAGTCGCTTGAGATGTAATGTGTTGAAATATGATAAGTTTTCCTTTTGTCTTTTATTATATATATATATATATATATATATATATATATATATTAGATCAGTAAAGGCAGACATTAAAAAGCATTTCATAACAAAAAAAAAATTAATTCGTAACAAAATAAAAAAATATATAATATATATATATATATATATATATATATATATATATATATAGTCATCCACAGAGAGACTGTTTCGCTCATCAGTGTGCTAATATATATATATATATATATATATATATATATATATATATATATATAGTTACTCCGCTATTTTATGAATTATTTCTTTTTTGTTATGAAATGCTTTTTAATATGTCTGCCTTTACTGACCTAATATATATATATATATATATATATATATATATAATCGTAAAATCGTGGTAATACATTAAAGGAAAATTACCCACTGATCACTCCTGTTTATAGAGACGGCTGATAGGACTTAATATACACTAATTTAAAAAAACTTTCAAGTTATAATCGGTTTTAGCTTTAATCTACACTGTGTACATGTCCGGGCTATAAAACAGGACACACCGATGAGTTTTTAACTAAATGTTTAACTATCGCTGAACCTGATACATTAACGCACCAATGGAAATTGTCCACTTTTCCCTTGCGAATATTGGCCGGTATATGTTGGCTGACCCGTGTTTCCAACCTTTGACTCATTCTACTTATATAGCATCTCACGTGGGGTTTTCAAGTGAAGAACTGGCAAAAGAGTTAACTAAACACAAATTTGGATTGAGGACCCGGATGGTGGATGGATGGCAACTAATTCATCTACAACTCTATTTGTTTATCCTTTCCTTTTGATTCTACAGGCACTCCAGGGGACATATGGTCACCCCCAAGATCTCCATAGTGCTTACCCAGCGCTACAACACCGTCTCCAGCAAGCACATGGAATATACATATATATATATATATGTGTGTGTGTGTGTGTGTGTGTGTGTGTGTGTGTGTGTGTGTGTGTGTGTTTTTAAACTCCAAAAACTTAATCTAACAAGTCACAGTCATCATGTTTTTTGTGTCTGTCTGTGTGTCTCCGTGTGTGTCTCTCTCTGTGTGTACAGGGTTGGTCGAAAGTTACGTAGTGTAATATTCTAACAGAATGGTACTTCTAGTTGAATTTATATTTCAATTTTTTAAGTTCATTTCTTCGTATTGTTTGTACTAATTTTTACTTCGTTATTTTTCTGTTTTATGATAAGGATCCACAACAGCTGCTCTGTGTCAGTTAACTTTAAAAATATTTTGTTGGTTGTGGGGGGGGGGTAAAAAAATTGGCTATTGTAAAGAATAAAAAGAACCACTTAGAGCAAACGAAAATCTCAAAATAATTTCCCAAAACCATTCCAACTAATTTTGGCGAACACTTCTTTTTGTTGAAATATATTCTATAATATAAAACAATATGACTATCTGTTAATTGGTTACGCAGCTTTATCTTCCCTATTTGAGGTATTAAGTATATGTTGTTATTGCGAAAAGAGGCATTACTCGACGCCAATAAGGGAACAGCATAACAGAATATATCATCAATGGGAAATTTTGTTTGATAAAAAAAATGCTTTTCGATTATTTTTTGTGATAGTTTTCTTTGTACATTTTTAATTTCAATAATTTTAAAAACAGAATCTTTTCTTATATGCGTCAATATATTTAGTTGTCTAAATCAAAATCCCACATTACTTTTTCAGAGAATATAATATATAAAAATATAAAATATTGACGCCATTTTGGATGATACAGGCTGTATCAGATTTCTCTGGATATTTTTACTTTTAATGACTTAAAAAGAAATTTTTTCTCACATACGACAATGTGTTAATTGCAAAATTGCTTAAATATAGCTGACAGTTTTGATGATAGGTATAAATTAGTAATGATAATGACGAAAGAAAGAAAGAAAGAAAGGAGCTGAAATAACAAGAAACAACAGTTTAGAAGGAATAGGAAAAGCAAGAAAGAAAAAGAGAGAGGTAAAGATGAAAGAAGAGGAAGAAATAATAATAATAAGAAGAAGACGAAGAAGAAGAAGAGGAAGAAATAGGAAGAAGAAGAAATAGGAAGAGGAGAGAGAGAAAATAAGAAGAAGAAATAGGAAGAGGAAGAAGAAGAAGAAATAGGAAGAAGAAGAAGAAGAAGAAATAGGAAGAGGAGGAAGAGAAGAAGAAGAGGAAGAAATAGGAAGAGGAAGAAGAAATAGGAAGAGGAAGAAGAAGAAGAAGAGGAAGAAATAGGAAGAAGAAGAAGAAGAAGAAGAAGAAATAGGAAGAGGAAGAAAAAGAAGAAGAGAAGAAGAAGAAGAGGAGGAAGAAAGAGGAAGAAGAAGAAGAAGAAGAAATAGGAAGAGGAGGAAGAGAAGAAGAAGGAGAAATAGGAAGAGGAGGAAGAGGAGGAGGAGAAGAAGAAGAAATAGGAAGAGGAGGAAGAGAAGAAGAAGAAGAAGAAGAAGAAGAAGGAGAAGAAGAAGAAAGAAGAAGAAGGAAGAAAAGGAAGAAGAAGAAGAAGAAGAAGAGAAGAAGAAAAGAAGAAGAAGAAGAAGAAGAAGAAGAAGGAAGAAGAAGAAGAAGAAGAAGGAAGAAAGGAAAAGAAGAAGAAGAAGAAGAAGAAGAAGAAGAAGAAGAAGAAGAAATTATAACAGGAGAATAGAAAGAAAACTGAAAAAGAAGGAATGAAAAGACGAATGCCAAAAGAAAATGGAAAAATAATTAGGAAGAGAAGGAAGAAGAAAAAGGAATTATGGCAGGGTAACTGTAAAAAAAAGTTGAAAAAAAAGGAATGAAAAGCAAAAGAAAGCAAAAAAGAAAGAAAGAAAGAAGAAGCTGTCGATGGAAGAATGAAGGACAATGTGACTTTATATATTTATAAATAAGAATGGAATATCTCATTATCTCCCCTATTTTAGATAATGAGATATTCTATTCTTATGTTAATAGAAGTCAGAACAGCGGAATGTCTCATTACTGAGTAGGTGAGATTAGGTTGCTAATATGCTGCCTGTTATTTCTTTTGTGTTCAACTTTTTCAGATATGTTTTCAATGATTTAACAGGTAGAATCCTTTCTGATATTCAACAACAGATTGAATTGTAGAGATAAGTATCAGATTACTCATTCAAAAAATGTCTTAAATATGGCCGCCGTTTTTGGGACAGTACAAAGTTTTGTTAGCTTTCTCTGGCTATTTTTATGATTTAATAGGTAGAATCCTTTCTGATATTCAACAACATATTGAATTGTACAGATAAGAATCCTAAATTACTCATGCAGAATCTATAACCAGGCAATTTTAAAATTTGTTAATTATGGCCGCCATTTTGAGTTATTTGGATCAAGTTGGTAAAAGCGTTGGTTGATTGATCCAAAAAGTGACAAAATCTTGGAGAGTTGAGTCAAGAGGAATTAACTAAAACTGAGATATCCAAAAAAAAGGCATGGTACGTGGAATTAGAACAACCTAACGCCGCGGACTAAATAAAGGACTCGTTTGGAAATTCCAACAAATATCATCAGAAGAAGATCGACGAGTACAACGGCCGAAACATCGTGAATTGGGTAGTAAATATGAAGGCAACAGTGCGTAAAATATACAAAAAACCTATATACATTAAAAAACGGAAACAAATATCACCTGAAGAAGGCCGAGGCGTACAACGGTCGAAACGTCGTGAATGGGACAGTAAAAATGAGGACAACACTGCGTAAAATAGATAAAAATCTATATACATTAAAAAACGGAAACCTGAAGAAGGCCAAGGCGTACAACAGCCGAAACGTCGTGAATAGGACAGTGAAAATGAAGACAACAGTCCGTAAAATAGACAAAAGTCTATATACATTAAAAAGCGGAAACATCTCCAATATCCACTGTGGTTGTATCGACTCTGAATACATATTTTTTGTTTATCTTGAATTGAAAAAAAAACAGACTTTAAAAGATAACCAGACATGGATCAGTAAGATCGATATGAATTAATATCATCGTTATCATCATGAGAGCTACTTCGACTCAGTGTGATTTCACTTCTTCAGTAACTTTGTAAATAACTCTTCTTATCAGTTCTCTCCAAACCTCCTTGTCTTGTGCTAACACACAAAAGTTCTGTGGGTCTTTTAATCTCTTCAAAGTTTTTACGAGGATTGACGGAATTTTATTAATAGTTATTTTTTTTAAAATATCGTTGTTTAATATGTATACTATGATTGTTCTTCCAATTTCTACGGATGTTTTTGAAATATAAAAAATTATTATGCTTATTGGAAATATTAAATTTAATCTATTAGCTTGAAATTAAAACTAAAATAAAAGCTTCAAGAAAGATTTTTCATTTTTAAAAATTCATTTTAAACCTTAGGTATTTATTTTTTTTTATTTGCGGTTGGGGTACCTATTATGCGAAATATAGTAAAACAATTCCAATAAATTTTAAGTTTTCAGTTTTCAGTTTTCTAGATGTAATCTCTTCGTTAGACTGTTAGATAGATCAAATGAACTTATTAACATATATATACTTTCAACTCCATTAAAAAATTTTGATTTGTAATGTCATCATAATGAGAATGGTTTCGACTTGAAAGCACTTTACTGTTGTAAAGTGTAAATCAATGGGATTACTCATCTTCAGTAATTTTGTAATTATTAATTTTCTTCTACGTATTTTAAGATATATAGCTTCAGCCTAAACGCATTCATATTTTTTCTTATTTGTTTTCAGTTGTAAAACTAAAATTCTGTCTGAGACTTTCCAATATCTATGAATCTTTTATTTGGTATAGATAAAACTATTTTAATAATTTGTACTGTCTGTTTCTAAACAATTAATTCCGATATTAACATCAATCTTTTTTTTTTTTTTTTTTGTTTCTTGGGGACAGCATATATCAATGTTATAATTATCAAAGTCCCGAGCCTATAATTTTTCTTTTTTCTTTTTTTTTTTTACAAGTCTTGTAATATTAAATGTCCCAATGGTAAAATCTCATCTTTGTTCCCTTTTTTTGCAACCAAACGCTCGTTTTAACAGCTCCCATATCCAGGAGAGTTGTATCGACTCTGAATACGTCTTCTTTTTTTTTCTTTTTTTGTTTAACTCAAGTGAAAACAAAACAGACTTAAAAAGATAATTAGACACAGATCAGCTGAGTAAGATCTATATTGATTAATATCAATCTTATTCTGCGAGCTACTTCAGCTTAACTTTGAGGCACAGTGCGATTTCGTATCTTTGTAAATAACTCTTTTCAGTTCTTTCCAAACCTCCCTGTCATGTGCTAACTCACAAAAATTCTGTAGGTCTTTTAATCTCTTCAAAGTTTTTACGGGGATTGACAGAATTTTATTGATTGTTTGTTTTTTTATATCGTTGTTTAATCTGTATACTATGGTTGTTCGAGATTCATATTAGTTAATATGAATTTTCTTCCATGTTTTTTTTTTTTTTTATAAATTTATACCTTCAGCCCTGTCTTGTATATGACGATAAACTACATCCGACAGCAAGGCTTATGATCGTGATGATTTGAAGAGTGTGGAACTACCACTTAAGTGCTGTTGTTCCCAGAACCATGAACAGGGGTGGTAGTATCTATTATCGTCCCAGCTATAGGCAAATAATAAACCCCCAAACTGGGGTCAAAAAACTGAAAGTATAGATTTAATAAAATAAAAAAATAAATTACCAGCAACAGATTTTTGTAAAAGAAAAAAAATGAGCAGCAACAGAATTTTGTAAAAAGAAAAATATTATTCAAGCTCTCAAGAAAATTAAATTTCGGCATTAAATGACCCATATTGCATTTAGATTTTAATCGTTTCTCTCCAAACAAGGCAATAAAGCCACTAAGACGCAAGGGGGGGTACTGTGTGTGAAAGAATGTGAGTAAAAAAAAAACATTATTAAGGAGAGAGAATAATAAAAGAAGAATAATTAAGAAGTCAGAAGATAACGATTAACATTGCATTTAAATTTTAATTGTTTCTCTCCAAGTAAGGCAATAAAGCCACTAAGACGCAAGGAGGTTAATGAGTGTGAAAGAATATGAGAAAAAGAAAAACAATATTAAGGAGAGAACAATAAAAGAATAATAATTAAGAAGTCTGAAGATAACGATTGACATTGCATTTAAATTTTAATTGTTTCTCTCTAAGCAAGGCAATAAAGCCACTAAGACGCAATGGGTTACTGACTGTGAAAGAATATAAGAAAAAGAAAAACATTATTAAGGAGAGAGAACAATAAAAGAAGAGCAATTAAGAAGACAGAAGATAACTATTGACATAACATTAACATTTTTGAAGATCAAAGTTGTCTGGAAAGCAAGAAGCCGGAACAGAGTTCCACAAATGAAAAGTGCGAGAGAAGAAACTTTTAGCATAGAACCTACGGTTACATCTTATCTTTTTATCTGTTGATAACAAAACCATTTCCATAATATTTACTGTCTGTTTCCAAACTTATTAACTTATGCTGTCTGACTTCGATATTAATATCAAGACCTTCTTTGATGTTGGTTTCTTGAAGCCAACATGCATCGATGCTATAACTATCAACTTTCCCGTGCCAATAATTTCAGCTTTTCTTGTGTGTGTGTGTGTGTGTGTGTGTGTGTGTGTGTGTGTGTGTGTGTGTGTGTGTTTGTTTGTTTTCTTTTCACAGGTCATCTAACATTAAATATCACGATTGTAAAATTATTTATTTATTTTAACGGTTGACTTTCTTCACCAAAATATATTGCTTAATATTACTTAATATTTAATATATTATAGTATATATATATATATACAGGTATAGCATTGGTGTATACAGAATAAATTCCAATAGCCAATAAATACTATTCCTAAAAGAGTGCTCAATACACAGTAGACAAAATATAATTTTACATTCAAGTATTATTTGTGTTATTAAAGGTAAAGTGTAGAAGAAATCTTAAAAGAGGAAATAAAACAGTTAATGCTTTCAAACAAAGTTTTTACTATTTCATGCAACACAAAGGCTAACAAAAGCCTAAAAACAAAACAAAAAACTACTTACTATTCTGAATGAAGCTGTATATGAGAAATAAGTAAGACCGTATCACCAAAATACTCTGCTGCTGTGGTAAGTTATAAACAACGTGTGATGCGACCCGCGTAGACTCTCAGCGGACTAATGGCTGCCGGTTAAAAAATAAAAAATACTGCCGGGCCATGAGAGTTGCCAGTTCATTGAGTATCGGATTAAAAAGGCCGGGTTGTACTTGATGGTAAAAAACATCTATACGTTTAGCCACGAAGCAGAGCCATGTTTCTTCACTTCATTAACGATATCCTTATCTCGTTCGTGATAAGATATCCTTGTTTACATATACAAAACCGGTTTCAACTCGTGTCTTAAAATCGCGTTTTCGTTTCTTGCCATAATTATTCGGTTGATTCAAACGAAATGATACAACAAATCAGAAGTGACTATCGACATTGATAAAAAGAAGATTATCGATATCTTTTTGTATATCTATATATCAGAGGAAAAGTCAAAAATTATCAACACTCTTGTCTAAAGATATGCTATAGCGAAAGTGCAGATAATTTATATATATATATATACAGTGTGTATATAAAAAAAGACCTTTTACAGACTTTGAGGGCGGGTTCTTCACATCAAAACAAGGACAAAAGTCCA